AAAGTCATCCATAAGAGAGAGTCATTGAAGTGAAGCAATTTACATAGGTCTTGTTCACGTCATCAGCTAAATCTAACCATTTGATATTTGGAGGGACTCAGTATGAGGCTATTTAAGGAAGACCAGTAATCAATTTCGTTTCAGAAGTTATTAAACTGGGAACAATTAGAAGAGATGATCGGCATGAATACAATCAAGTCATCAGCATACTTAACAAAGTTAGCTTCAGTTGAGGTTGGTAAGTCACGTGAAAAGAAGGAGAAAGAACAGCACTTTGAGGCACTCTGGCTTCATTCACTAAGTAACGAAGTAGAGCGCATCCCTCTGTATAGAGTGTACTGTCATTTCACAGAAAAACTAGAATCAAGACAGTTTGAAATCTAGGAGTCACTATGATTTCTGACAAGGTTGTTCAATGAAAGCAGTACAGAATGGAAAGAAGAAGTACAATCTAAGAAAACAGATCTAACATACTTGCCATGCTTATCCAGACTGGTAATGTTATTATGATGTAACAAAACTGTAGAATCTGAAGTACGCTTTCTATGTATGTAGGCGAATTTATGTCACTCCTTGATGAATACCAGCTTAAAATGAATAAATCATCACAAACCTCTAGATTGAACGTTAGAGAATCTTTGTCAAGTCACTTCATCAGAAGCTAGTTCGATATGCTCTGATTAACATAAACATTAAAGATGAAGTTATTAACTCTATTCATGAGTATTGTTTGTCTCCCCTTTTTTGATTGCATGAAAAAGAATTTTTTGTAATTTGGGATGTGGATATTTGTTCCAAGTTGTTCTCTTAACTGAAGTTTCCATTGGCAAATGTTTGAATATCATGCTAGGCAGCACTATTTGTACATCAGTGCTTCACAAGTAAGTGAAGCTCTTTTAAAACGATTATGCACTGATGATGATGTCTAGCAAAAGTTTTCAAAGGCTTAAAAGACTCCAGCCGTAAGAACAACATAAACTAAGAGGGAGAGCTTGTTTATAATAAAATCACGGTAAATGAAAAACAGCTATTACTCCTACTCCAAATACTACTATTATTACTCACGCTACTACTACTACTACTACTACTACTACTACTACTACTCACACCACTACTACTCACACTACTACTACTACTCACACCACTACTACTCACACTACTACTACTACTCACACTACTACTACTACTACTACTACTCACACTACTACTACTACTATTACTCACACTACTACTACTCACACTACTACTACTACTACTACTACTCACACTACTACTACTTCTACTGTTACTCACACTACTACTACTACTACTATTACTCACACTACTACTACTATTACTACTACTACTCACACTGCTACTGCTACCGCTACTAACACTAATACCACTACTAATACTAGTCACACGACTAATGCTGAAACTCACAGCACACCTATTACTATTAAAAATTCTTCCTACAGAGTAACTCACTCGGATTCCAATCTTATAGTAAGGCCTACAAATCGATTGATGGCATTGCTATATGCAGCCGTTTTGAACCATTGCTAGTTAGTATATATATACACAAACCAGAGTCGAAAATGGGAATTACATTTCAAGACATAAGTAGCAACAAGATGGTCATCAAAACTGTCCATTCCTTTATTCAAGTTTATATTCCTTGGGAGCTGAATTTAAATTGCATGATAAATTGGTTTCTTGAGACTTTCTATTAACTAAACAAAGTTATAGAACAATCAGAAGATAAATGTTATGAAAAAAAAATGAAATGGAGCATATTTTCATTTAAATAGCATTTTTCCTATTCTGCATATAAATTCTTGGGTTAAAAACATTTTCAAGAGCTTGTAGAATGAACATTAGGGTGAGTACTACTTGATCCAATGGTATAATACACACATTCAATTTCTAAACTTATAGATACCTGAAAAACCTACTTGAATAGCATAGCATAGAACCGCACCAGCAACTGAAAAGTCAGCTACTATGGCAAATAAATCTGTCCTGATTAAACTACTACTCAAAATCCATCTAATTATATAATTAAAAGTTCAAAGATTTTAGTCGATTACCAAAAGCATTTAACCGCAAAGAGAGATTTTCTTATCAAGTGACACGATTCAATGAACAAATTTTTATCGATACAGTTTTATCTTGAAATTAATGAGAGCATATATGTACATAGACATAACAGTGTCTTTGATAAACACAGGATACCCTTATAGTTCATATGACCAATATAAATGTGCTTAATTTGAACAGACACCTGGCATCATTTTTTACTGAACACTTTTAGGTGATCGATCATAAAATCAGTGTTAATGATTACTGACCAGCTATTTGACATGACTTGGAGCCAAATATAACGAAGGTGATGGAGGGAAGTATTTCTGATGAATCAAATCACATTTATACAAAATTATATATTCAGGAAGTAACAGATCAGCCGTGGACAACTTCACCTACGATAATCACTAGTTGTTAAATTGTTCTATATTAATGATGGATAGTAGCTAGCAGTGGAATCCTTGGCTGATGTTATTCCATCTGGAGTCAGACACACCCGGCTGACGAGCCCCCAAAAGGGCGAAACGTGCGTCGAGCTGCATTCCACTGCTAGCCAGTATCCATCATTGATATGCAACTGAAATACAGGCAATATCAAGACTTTACTATAGGAACCCATATGCCAATAGAGACCGATCAATTCGGTCCAATCAACGACGGGGAAAAGAGCCTAGAAGATTTGGATTTCATCGAAGCTGATTTATGTCTAATGTCACACAAACTCGAAGATCTACAGGCAAAATCCAACAAATTGATAAAAGAGGCAGAGCAGAGAAGACGGGACATTCTTCATGTGAACGTAGAGAATAAACAGACGATGAAGATATCCAAACAACCAACAACAACAACAACAACAACAAGCTCCAATCACCATCAACGAGAGAAACTTAAAGGAAGTAGCCTCTCTCACCTACACCTATCTAGGCAATGCAGCATCCTTTCAACTACAGGTACACAGACCACACGCACAGACGATGACGACGTCAAAGCCAGTCAGGATTCGAAAAGCCAGACTGACCTTCATTTACCCGAAACCAATCAGTGTGGAGATCTTCTGCACTTCACTCAGCATAAAGCGTGAACAACATCTAGATATTCAACACCACCAATGTGAATCAAGTCAGTGCTTCTGTGTGGCTCACAGACTTGGCACGTCACGAAGGGCATCTGCAACAAACTACAGACATTCATGAACAACTGCCACCTAGGCTGGCTCGTTTCTCAAGATGAGATCAGATGGCGAGAATGACAAGAATAAGCGAGGAGGAACTCTGGTTGGCTGGCTGGCTGGCTGGCTGGCTGGCTGGCTGGCTGGCTGGCTGGCTGGCTGGCTGTCAACGAAGTAACCAACGAAGCAAGAACCTATCTCTCAACAGATATGCAGTGGAGGGAAGTGGAGATGGATTGGATTGTGCATACAGTGAGAAGGTCGACTGGGCACATCATGTTCCAGGTGAGGCACTCGAGTGTAACCCAGATGGGAAGCGACGAGTTGGGTGTCTGAGGTGAGGTGAGATTGAGGAGATGGTGTTAGTAAGAAATGAGAGGTTGTGGGCATATGTGGAGTGAGGTTTAAAAGATTGGAGAGACGAGAGTGTAATGGAGACGTGCTAGTGAATCCGTATGTTTGACTAGGAACCCAAGGGACAAATAATAAAAATAATAATAACGAGATAACACAAGCAGTAACACTAAGTTATTCTTTTATATGATATACTTGACAATGTTATGACTCAATATGTTACTGTAAATCATGTTCGTTTGTAACGTGATTATCGTCAAAAAGAAGAGTGTCATCATCTTTCAGTATTTGTCTTCTGAATCCTGTTTTGATACCTAATTGTTTATGATTTGGAACTATGTTATTAGTGAACATTCATTCTTACTGAAACTTTTGATAAATCATTACCTCAGACTGTTACACTTGAAAATTTGTGATTTATGAGTACTGATCATCCTATTTGTTTAAGCCAAAATGAATGTCTGCCAGTAATACTGAGTGACAGGCACACTTACGAAATATTCTATGGAACAATATGTGTACTTAGAAACCTCTTATACTGATCTGTAAATTTCACTAGTCAGATTACAGTAAGATTAAAAAGTGGTCAGCTGTTTGATTCATTTTAAGTTCAACTCATAAGTGGTATACTCTTACTACTTTAAGTGATTGGTTTACAATATGAACCCCATTGACATTACAGGTAGACAACTGAAAGATTACTCAATTGTGAGAAATGCTGGCGGGGACTTTGCGATCTACAACTGATTTAAACAGTATTCATCACATTGTTGATTATGCTATTTCATATAAGTTGTAAAACATGAAATTTAAGATTGCAACCAAATCCGTGAGTACCAACTCCTTCACTAGAAGGTCTAAGTATCCCAAGGTTGACATCACACCTTTGACAGAACTCAAAATAAACTCAAATAAACTATCTAGTATTCAATGGTTCTTGTTTTTTCCTCAGCTCATTTTAGTACTAGATGAAAATTACCCTGGAGTCAATCAATATCCGTCAAACAATGAAATCCACGATACGTGTTTCGTTCTGTTTGAGACTCGTCACTTGGATTTACCACTCTGACCCTAACCGTATTCTGATCGACTAGACCACTTGGGTACGAGAGTCAGCACTAGTCCCAAGGGAACAACACATTAGGATGCAGGCACATACAGCTGAGGAGTACTAGACAGGACGAAACGCGTGTTCTAGATTTCACCGTGAGTCATTAAGATGAATACAGCATGATGAATATCTGGTGGTATCAAAGCATCCGCATAGCAGTCAGATCATGTACAGGAACGGGAAAACACAAGTATCGAATAACCCCACAATCAACTTGATTTTTTACCAAAATTATCTCACATTTAATTATAATTTTGATAAAAATTATCATCGTTTTTCTGTTGTTTACTTTTATACTTCTAGGATGAGAAGAATCAAGTACTGACCACAATCATCTGGATGGATTTGGTAAGACTGGTAGTAGATTACTTTATGTATTGTTATTCTCAAAATTTCATTACTAACAGTTTATAATGCCGAACTTAAAGAAGGATCTATGGTAACTTACTTTTGAAGAGTACTGAAAATCTAGCAATAATTATACTGTGCAGATCTTCTGCATTCAGAATAAAACGTGAACAATTTCAGGATTTTAAACACAAACGTCAAGTCAGTGCTTCTGTATGGCTCACAGACTTGGCACGTCACGAAGGGCATCTGCAACAAACTACAAATATTCATGAACAACTGCCACCTAGGCTGGCTCGTTTCTCAAGATGAGATCAGATGGCGAGAATGACAAGAATAAGGAAGGAGGAACTCTGACTGGCTGTCAACGAAGCAACCAACGAAGCAAGAACCTATCTCTCAACAGATATGCAGTGGAGGGAAGTGGAGATGGATTGGATTGTGCATTCATTGAGAAGACCATTGGAGGATATCATGCGCCAGATCAGACATTCGAGTGTAACCGAGATGGGAAACGACGAGTTGGGTGTTTGAGGTGAGGGTGAGATTGAGGAGATGGTGTGAGTAAGAAATGAGAGGTTGTGGGCAGTGGTGGAGTGAGGTTTAGAAGATTGGAGAGAAGAGAGTGAACTGGAGATGTGTTACTGAAGCTGTATGTTCCGTTAGGAACCCAAGGGACTAATAATAATAATAATAATAATAATAATAATAATAATAATAATAATAATAATAATAATAATAATAAAGGCATTGGGAAAGTACTTTAGTGCATAGTTTTCCTCAAGTAGTACACGGAATTGATGAAAAATTGTTTTTTTCGATCATTAAAATGAGAATTTGGATACATGGGACAATCGGAACTTGCAGTCTGTAAAAGTGGTTCTTTAAACTGCGTTTTTTAAGCTATTTCCTTCGATTATATTGTCAAGCTGCATTCATACAAATTCTACCATTATTGTCTTGAAATTTCACCATCAGAATACTGAAATTTTTCAAAGTAAGTGCATTCTTCACAAATACTACTGTCAGGAACCTGTAATCTTACTATGATGGAAGAATAAACTGTTGTCACGAACATCATGAAATGCTGAAACTTCCAGAAAAATCATGAATCTCCTTGTCTTTGGTAGTACAAACATAGATAGTGAATAATGAAGTACAATTATTTTAAGCCCCTATCAGGATCAGTTTCTGTCCAGTGCGTGTCAATGACATGCTTCAGATACGTTTCCAAAGTTCTAACGACAATTCGGTGCCTATGAGGTTAACAAATCAGGGATTTTAGTGGTTGCCTGTAAATATCAATAGATATTGTCTAATCCATATCGAGAATCAAAATAAGTTGGAAATTGTGGCTAAATAGTCACGAACTCATGAAAGAAACTGTAGTGGGCGTCGCTGATAAGAATGGATATAAGTAGTATATATTGAGAGGGTGACAGAAATCATAGGGAATTACTGTCAATGGGTAAGGATGTTACCAAGAGCAACGCAAGAGACAGTGCAGCATGTTACAATGGATGTCGTTGATAATAATGTATGAAGAGCAAATCTAGAGGGAAGTAAAAGAGGAAACGAAACACATTTTGCAAATAACGGTTTTAGTGCAAGGTGTACCATATTGTCAGCCTGTAGTAGTCAGAAATCGTCCAGACTGATCAGAAGATTTCGCAATCAGGTGATTTAAACACCGAGTGGCGACTTTTCCCTTTTCAGGTCAAGACACCTTATCATCAATGATGTACACGATCAAGTTCAGTTCATACAGACGAATTACCTCAGATCACCTGAATCCGGCTAGCTACCTTACATTAACCGATATGCATAAGGTGAAATGATCAATTTTCAAGTGATCTACAAACTTCGTGGTCACTTAGCCAGATACAGGTGGTCCAAGGCCTTTTGGCTCTATAAGCTAGATTTGTCTATTTACACCACTGATGAGGTGGTTCGGCTCCGAACGGGCGAAACAGCCTTCATGACACTTTTTTAGGAGCGATCATATTACTAAGCTCATTTTAGTAGTGAGTTCGCTATGAAACCCTATAGTTCTTGATGCATACTACTTAAGAGTTTCCAGCTAGAACTAAAGAACTTTTCAAGTCTTCAATGGTTTTTAGAATGATTTCAATTCAGTATAATTGTTTTTATATGATACTGTCGTTGCTTGGACCGAAATGATCTGTCTGTAGTGGCATATGGGCTCCTGTGTGGATGCTTTGATATTCCCAGTGTTCTTGCGGGACGCGTATAGTTTCAGTATAATTGTCGGTCCAAGCAACAACAGTATCATATAAAAACACTTATACTAAAACTATACCCGTCGCAGAAGAAGTGGCTATCGTGGCTCGGTGGTGTAGTGCAAAAAACGCGCTGGCGTTTGAAGCGATCACTCCCGGGTTCCAGTCCCGGTGAGAACAACGCTCACTGGGAAGTAGGTACATCCAGCTGACCAGTCATAAATAGGACGAAATGCGCATCCTGGATCCCACTGCTAGCCACGTTCCACCAATAATATGATGTCAATTCATGCTGAAATTTACTTTAACATTTTCTTTTTGTTTATCAATGAATACCATGTTATTATTTTCCTAAAAATCAATTTTTTCGCATTAAAAAAATCTCTTCTTGTAAATACTTTTTAAGTGTAGATAAGTGAAATGGTATAAGCGGAGAATACACAGAGATTTGACTTCATTTACCTTTACACATTGACCTAATACATGAAAGTGCTACACATGTACACACAAATGTATGTAGGTGGATGTATGTAACCGTCTGTGTGTGCAAATGCATATGTCGTGTGCTATCCAGCATGTATGTGTGTGTGTGTGTGTGCAAGTTTGGATATGAACTGGGAATAAGAGACATGAAAAGCACCACGATTAACATCAACACTACTAACAGTAGTAATAGTAATGGTAATAGTAGTAGTAATATTACACGAATAAAAAGGACAACTCGTTTTGCTAAAGATAACATCTTTGACAAAATATCAACAAGGTTCGACAGTTGGAAAAGGGAACAGAAAAGTTAGAGGAGTAAACAAAAAAGTATTTCTTAAAACATTATAGAATAGTAAGGTAAAAAAAATGGAAGCAATAATGAAACAACAATGAAATAACTGTAAGGACAAATATAATTACATGAAAGAAACTATGAATAAGCGAACCTGTACGATATTATGTCATTTTATCATCAGTGGAATAAACCTCTTTGGTTCATAAGTATTGACCCAGTGATGATGAAGATACACAAACAACAACAACAACAACAACAACAAGAAGCTCCAATCACCATCAACGAGAGAAACTTAAATGAAGTAGCCTCTCTCACCTACACCTATCTAGGCAATGCAGCATCCTTTCAACTACAGGTACACAGACCACACGCACAGACGACGACGACGTCAAAGCCAGTCAGGATTCGAAAAGCCAGACTGACCTTCATTTACCTGAAACCAATCAGTGTGGAGATCTTCTGCACTTCACTCAGCATAAAGCGTGAACAACATCCAGATATTCAACACCACCAATGTGAATCAAGTCAGTGCTTCTGTGTGGCTCACAGACTTGGCACGTCACGAAGGGCATCTCCAACAAACTACAGACATTCATGAACAACTGCCACCTAGGCTGGCTCGTTTCTCAAGATGAGATCAGATGGCGAGAATGACAAGAATAAGCGAGGAGGAACTCTGGCTGGGTGGCTGGGTGGCTGGGTGGCTGGGTGGCTGGCTGGCTGGCTGTCAACGAAGCAACCAACGAAGCAAGAACCTATCTCTCAACAGATATGCAGTGGAAGGAAGTGGAGATGGATTGGATTGTGCATTCACTGAGAAGACCATTGGGGGACATCATGTTCCAGGTGAGGCACTCGAGTGTAACCGAGATGGGAAACGACGAGTTGGGTGTCTGAGGTGAGGGTGAGATTGAGGAGATGGTGTTAGTAAGAAATGAGAGGTTGTGGGCATATGTGGAGTGAGGTTTAGAAGATTGGAGAGAAGAGAGTGTACTGGAGATGTGTTACTGAAGCTGTATGTTCCATTAGGAACCCAAGGGACTAATAATAATAATAATAATAATAATAATAATAATAATAATAATAATAATAATAATAATAATAATAATTGACCCAGTGGCTGGATAGTTGACGCGTTCGCAGTGAAACCTAAAGGTTCTGGGTTCGAGATGTAGTTGGATGGTGGGTGCGTGCTGCTGAAGAGTCATATACTAAGACAAAACAGCTGTCCAATGCTTCATTGATTAGTATCAGTCGTTACATAATTTTCACTTTTGAACCATTCAAGTTGACTTTCAAAACGAACCTATTTCTCCTGTTACACTTCGATAAATTAACTGAAACAGCTGGTTTGTAATGTCGTCTTTCAATCAGTGCATATTTCAATTCGACATGTATCTTTGTATGTATGTATGTATGTAGTTGTGCGACCGGTTGTAATTGTCTTTCTGTCTGTTGACGTTTATATCTGGTGAAGATGTTGTGTATTTATCATAGTAACTGATGAAGAAAATTTAACATGAATAAGATATATCTCAGCTTCATTTTGTTATTGTATTGCATAAACCATTATCATTATGTAAAACTTAACTTTCACTTACTGGGATTATTCAGTTATTGAATTTTTTGTCATGAAATGATCTGAAATAATGGAGAATATTTGAAGCTCAAGTGAATGGTCTTGGTTGAATTGTATTCTCTGAGCTAAGTTGTTTAATCGTGAAGCTTTCATCGTCTTGCTAGACAGCGACATCATCATTAAAAAGGATGATATAGAAAACACTCACAGTTAGATCAACAACGTTTTCAGTGACATCAAATTCACAATGGAGAAAGAGTCAAACAACCAACTACCATTCCTGGATGTTTTAGTCAGTAGGACAAATGCCAGAAAGCTGGAAACCCAAGTATACAGGAAGCTAAGGCACACTGATCAAATCTTCAACTACAATAGCAACAACCCAACAACACACAAAATC